GATGCCCTGGGACTTTACCCACTGTCACCTGAACAGCTCACAGGTGACTGTGCTGCTGAAGGAAGAGGGCAGCATGGCTAGGGGATGGTGCAGGTAGTGAGTCGGGTGACACAGACCAAGTCATTTTGTCTGTGAACATCAGAATCAGTGTCCTGTCTTGTAAAACAGGCATGCTGATTCAGGGCCGGATGCAGTGTATCTCAGAAGGTATGAGTTCTCTTCTCCCTCCAGACACCCAAATTGATTAGATCCCAGATTCCAGTGAAGTCTCTTTCCTTCCTTGGCTCACAGCTGGCCTAACCAGACAGGTCAGCAGGTCTAGTCAGTACAGGTCCCTGGCTGACTGTGATCTTGGGAAGTGGTTTAGCACCTCTAGGTCTTGGGGTTTTGAGTAGCTCTGTTCTAAAACAGCCCACACTGAGCCAAGATAATAGAATCTCTGTGTCTCAGTGAACAGCAACTCCCTCTACCTCCCCCACCTCCCAGCACCCAGGATCTTGTTTCTCAAGGGGCAGGGGTGGCGGCAGGGTGAAGAGGGGCACCTAGAAGCCCCAGGCCCCCAGGGATGAGCATAAGATTGGCTCAAGCTAGGTGGGGGTGGGACCTCCCAAGAAGTCCAAACAGGTGGCTGGGTTCTGAGTTCCTTGGCTGGTTAAGGCCCGTCCGTAATGCTCAGCTCTCACCAGATGTATTTCATTGGTCTCAGGTTCAAAGGCACCTGGGACAAATGGCAAGCAGTGGAGAGGGGTTGAGGGGTGGAGAACAGCAGCCCTGGGCTGCAGTTACAGCTTCCACAGGAAACTGGGCAGGGTGCACCTAGCCCTGGGACCTGTAGCTACTCACTCAGATGGCAGGACAGAGGCACATTAGAGCCTCCTCCCAGAGCCACTGGCCCCAATGCCCTGGGCCAGCACCAGACACCCTGTACAGACACTGTCAGGCTGAGAGCAACCACCTACAAGTGACTGTGAATGAGCAAGACGCAAAGGATCAGGGCTCCCTGGCAGACAAGGTTGGCAAGGCTAGTGCGCCTCCTGCTGCATGGCTGCCCTGCTAGCCTCACCCACAGCAGAAGCTGTTGGGCTTGGTCAACCTCAAGTCCATGCCCCACTGTTGATGGCTCTCTTGAGCCTCGATTTCTTTGTCTGTGAAAAGGCTCTAAACACTCCTGCTGTAACTGCTAGGGCCACTGTACTAAACTGAGACGATCAATTCAGAGGAGTGTGATGTGGGAAAGAGAATGACCACGTGTATTCTTTTAACTCTAACAACAACAGCCCTAAGAGGCAAGTACTGTTGTTACCCACCCCCTTCTACAAGCTAAGTCACCTGCCTGAGGCCACACAGCTGGCAAGTAGCAGAGCCAGGCTAGGACCCAGAGATACGGCACTCCAGATCTGGGCTTTTCACCAATGCCTACCCATCCTTGCAGAGTCACAGCTTTGGTAAAAGTCTTCACCAAAGTGATGGATCCTCCTGGTTGTTATTTTATAAAACCCATGGCAGGAAAAGGACTGTTCTGAAAAGCCATTTTTCTCTCTGCCTCTCCTTTTCCTGGTCCATGAGTTTTGCAGGCTGCTCCCTTCTGCAGTCTTAGACAATCAGGATGCCGACCGTCTGGGGAACCAACCTAAGACAGCATGAAACTAATCTGTTCAAAGTTAACGTCTTCGAGGCGTCGCGTCAGTATTTGGGTTGGATATAACCTTGTTATCTTAACACAGATGAAGCCCCAAATTTAATAAAGCTAAGACAACTGGAGCAACGTAAGAACCATAACCGGATATTGCAGAGAGATTAGGGGGCTTCCTCTGGACTACGTGGAGGGCAGGGCGGGAGCTATGGCACAGTGTACACCGTGGGCCAGTGGGTCCCAGGCCCAGGCCTGGCTCCCCTCAGCGCACTGAGGCCTCCTGGTACCCAAGCGGAGGCTCCACAGGCTAAATCTAAACCAGCTGCAAGGGGTGTTACAGTTGGATGGGGCGAGGGGAGTTTACCTCAGGAAAGAACTGTGGAAGTGCTGCTGGGAAGATCATAAAAGGATTAACTGCTATGTTAGTGGGCCATTTACCCCTCAATCAAAACGTCTCATCTATTTCCTGTTCTTCAGAGGCTGTGGGTCCAACATTCCTTTGTCTATTACAGCACTTGGTAGCAGAGGCCTGTCATGAGAAATTAATATTTTTACAGGGAAGGGAGATTTTGTTTATCTGGGTGCAGGCTGGGGCCCGCCCTGCCCCCTGGTTACCTACTGAACCAGCATTGCAGGGGAGAGCCTGTCCAGTCCACCACAGGCAGGAGGAGCTGGGGGAGGGTCTGGACAGCCAGTCACTGCTCCCTGCAATAGGTATGGCACCCAGCAGGGCAGGTCCAAAGACCATAGAGAACCACTGGTTTAACAAAACAAGAACACTGCAGTTGAGAAAGATGTGGATTCAAATTCTACTCTAATGGATATTGGTGTTATATTTTGAGGCAACTTATTTTTATTATTGTTACTCTGATGATTCTTAGTCTCTTATTACTGGTGCTACTATTATCTCTAATTAGCTGTGCAACCTGCAGCAAATTTTGCAGTGGCCCTGAGCCTCAGTTTTCTCATCTGTAAAATGGGGGTAGACAATATCTACCCATAAAGGCTGTGGTAAGGACCACATGGAGCTAACATTCAAAACAATGCCCGTGCACAGTCAGCACTCAGCAGGGGCTTGGGAGCATCATCTTCACCATGCTCTTCACCCTGAAAAGGCACAACTAAGTGTTCTTCTAGGAGCCAGTGGGAGGCTTGCCAGACCTGCCAGACCCTTGTTTCTTTACCTGCAAACCTCAGGTTTCATAGGACTCTGGTACACTGAAAGCAATCACCAGTGGGCTGGGATGCCACCTCCCAATGAAGACCTCTGGGCCTCCAAACTCCAACTAGGACCTGCCACTGAGCCTGATCCCTGACAGCTCAGGGACCCATTCCTGAGTGTGTCACCCCCAGTGTGACAGATCGAGGTCTGGGTCTCCAAGGACAGGTATAAGACAGTGTCCCTGCAGAGTCTGGAATCAAACCAGATTCTAACAGGCTGGCCCAGGAGAGATACTAAGACTGTGCTGAGTGACTGGGGACCCCTGGCCAGGCCTCCATTTCCCAAGTTGAAAAACGGGCAAGGAAGGCCTAGGTCATCAGGGTCCCAGACATCTAGCATGGATACTCCTGGATGCTGGAATTCTATAGTGAGACTTCACTATTAAAAGGCCATGAAAATTAGAGATAAGGGCAAAATAGTTTCTGCCGGGTATTGAGGTGGTGGGGAGAGAGGGAGGGGGCGGAGTGGGTGGTAAGGGAGGGGGTGGGGGCAGGGGGAAGAAATGACCCAAGCATTGTATGCACATATGAATAATAAAACAATAAAAATTTAAAAATAAATAAATAAAAAAATAAAAGGCCATGGACCACATCACATAGAGACCACCTGTGTTCCACCTAGGCCCCCACTGACACTGCAGACACAGCTCTGCCATGGTCAGCTCCAGGGCCTCAGGGGAGAAAAGGGTCATCTGCCCCATCTGTGGATAGATGCCCCAGCCTATGGACTCTGTTGCTCATTACTTTCCAGGTAGGTCCTATCTCTCATCAAGCCTGTATCATAAGATCCCAAATGTACTAGGATATCTCCAGGGACTGGCCCAGCCACAGCTCACTAACTCCACCAGCATACTCTTGGCCCAAAGGCGCACCGTAAGTAAATTCTTAGACTGCTCAGCCCAGCCTCACTCACCTCCTTGCAAGCAGGACACCAAACCTGGCCTCCTCCTCTTGTCCTTAACGTGGACTATTCTCTGCTGCCCACCTGTCTATGAAGTGACCCCCTTCTCTTCTTTGAGTCCTGGAGAGCTACCCCAGTGTATGTCCAGCTCATAGTATCACAGGCATTGGGGATGAGTGTGGCCCAGAAGAATGAGTTTACACGCCAGTTGCCATTCTGCCTCCTGGCGCCTACAGATGACATCACGATCTGTGAGCAAGAACCCAGAGCCCCTTCCCAGACTGAAGGCTCCACATGGTGGAGTTCAGCAACAGTGACAGTGTGCAAGCATGGAAGAACTCGACCTTGTCTATGACACCAGCCCCTAAAGACCAGACACACTGCTGCCCAGTGTTTGGAAGACTAAGCCGTAGCCTGAGTGACCCATGCTTCTTGTCTCCTGGAACACATCCGGAGGCGTGGCCCTTCCTCTCCTAGCAGGTGCTTCTCCTAGAGGGCCCAGAAGCCAGCTGGGCCTTGGGGGCAGGCATAGTGGCTCAGTAGCAGAGGGTATCAGGGACAAATATTATGCTCCTGGCTTCTGGCACAGAAGCACAGAACACAAAAATGACCAGTAGAAAGGCAAGAGGCCAGGGTGCCTGCAGATAATGTGAGAGAGAGAGAGAGAGTGTGTGTGTGTGTGTGTGTGTGTGTATACCTCTCTTTCTCTCCCTAGAAACCTTAGACGAACGCCAGCCACAACACTGAGGGCGCTATGCAGGGCCTTAAATGCCAACTCTTGACCTCCAAGCCTACCCTGGGGACACACAGCTCTCAATCTGGATGCTTGTGAGGGCCAAGTGTCCCTTAGTGGGAGCCAAGGCCCCTAGAAACCCAGGAGAACGCCCAGGGGCCTACCTGGACAGGATACAGGGTGAAGGCCAGGGCTGGAGGAGAGCAGGCTCCCCACCAGCAGGTGGTACAAGGAGCACATCCACGGAAAGAAAAGGCTGGTCCAGCCTACCTTGACCTCAGAGCCCATGAGGCACCATGCCATGAGGCATGATAAAGCACATCTAATGTATACCCAGCACTGCAGTGTGGGGCACAGGGCACCTAGAGAGAATAAGGTGAATTACCAAGGTTCCCAGTGACAGGCACGTTGACTGTCTTAATCACCAGCCACATCCACGGCCTTGGACCCTGCAGGGGAATCTCACTTTTCTCCAGGGCCTGGGACACTGGAGGGGCTGGAGGAGGACTCACCATGCACTTGTTGGGCTTCTCCCCCGAGTGCACCCGCATGTGGATGAGCAGCTTGTAGCGGGCGTTGAAGGGCTTGTATCGGCGCACGCAGCCAGCCCAGAAGCAGGTGAAGTCTTCGCCCTTGCGCTGGTCAATGTGGCTCTTCTCGATGTGCCGCACCAGCTCCTCCTGCTGCTCGTAGGCTGCACAGCAGTCCACCCAGCGGCACGCCTGCCGCCCGGCCACCATCCTGCCTGCCAGGCCCAGTCCCAGGCCTCCTAGGCTGGAGCCAGCTGACAAATGAGGCAGTGGGTAAGGGGGAGGCAGGCCCTGCTGGTGGGGCACAAAGAGCTCTGAGAACTCATCCGTGGGCTCCTGCTTCAGGAAGCCTGCCTTCTGGCACACTTCAAGTTGCAAGCTGCCCTCATGGCTCTCAGTGGATGCTGGGCCAGGCCGAGCCCGCTTGGGAGGACCCACCACGTCTCCAGACAAAGGAGGGCTCCGGAGTGCATTTACACAAGTGACTAGAGCCGTCTGGGAAGAGCGGATGATGGGGGAGACATCGGAGGAGGTGCAGGGTGAAGAGGAGGCTGAGGAGGTGGGGAGCAGGCCCAAGAGGCAGCAGCGCTTCAGGCCACCCTCGGGGAGGTGAGCCTCCGGCTGGGGACCCAGGCCCGAGCTGGGCTCACTGCTCACAAGGTAGCAGGAAGGCACAGGGTTGGCAAGGCCTCGGCCTGGAAGGTCCAGCTCTGTGTGCAGGCCGGTGGCAGGTGGGGCCCGGCAGTGAGTTGACAGGGACATGCGGGCTCCGGCCATAGCCTGGTAGTCGGGCAGGACCTCCTGCTTGATGTGTTGTGCGGTTGGGAGGCTGCCATTCACATATGTGGTCTGGGGTCTGGGGGACCTGGAAGACAGTGGCCAGAGAAGTTGTGAAAGGTTGGGCACTCCTTAGAGGGGAGGCCCAGGCAGGGGTTGGCCAGCAAAGTTCAGGGCAGGAGAGTGTGAGGGAAGGAAGAAGAGGGAAAAAAAGACCAGAGACTGGCTGTGTGAAAGCAGGGAAGAATGTGTACAGCAAAGAGAGGAGGAGGCCTGGGGAGAGATGCAAGAGGCAAGAAGTCTGAACAGATGACTGTGATAAGGAGGAACCCAAGGACACACATCCCTTTACCAAAACCCAGGCCACCCTCTAGCCCTGGGGCCATCCTACCAACCTCCCAGGCCTCTTGGGGTCTTCTCTGACTCCCACCTAAAAGCCTTCAAGTGAGCTTTGTGGGAAGAAGGCTGCAGCATTTTGAGGAACATCCAGGGATGTTTAAGTTCTGCTTTATATCTCTTAAATCTTTCTTAATCTCTGTTATCGTTCCAATTTCTACAAGTGTTAATTGCATGAAGCTCTGCCCTAAGCAGCAGTGGTTGGTATTACTGAGCAGAGGCTGTGGCACAGTCATGGAGAGAAAGTACCTCGGCAGGAACAGAGGACAAGCTTCTCAGGGAGTAGCCCAGAACTCAAGGCCCAGTACAGTGCCTGCACAGAACTGCAATCTGGGAAAAGCAGGCAGCAGTACCTGGAAGGCAGAAGACCTGGTCTGAGCCAGGGCTCAGTCCTGTCCCAACTGTGCAGATTCAAACAAGTTCTGGACCTCTCTCCTTAGCGGTGACATCACAGCAATCCTGTCCCTTAGGGTGTGGATGTCAGGGCCAGGTGGGGTCTGCCACAAGAGGCTCGTCCATAGTTTCCTATGAAGAGCCTACCTCCCCTGTGGGGCATTCCCTCTGCCCTTCCCAGGGTTCAAGGTGACTTCCGAACAGAAGAATACACCATCCTGGGAGGGAGACCAGGCAAGGTAAAAATGGAGACACCAGGGTCAACCTGTTACCAAAGGACTGTTATCAAAGGTGATGCTGGGCCAAAAAGCTTCCACTATCTAGCTGGTAAAACAAGAGTCTCAGTTATGTGCCAAAAGTCAGACTAGAATGCCCCCATGTGATCTGCCCCCAGCCAGGCCTCAGTTTTCTCACCTGGGAAATAAAGACTAAGACACTATGTGGAACTCAGAGAGTGGAGGCCAGAATCAAGTGACAGCCCTCTGGGAATAACGGCACATGGTACTATTATTACCACTGCAGGAAGAGCTGTGGGGTCTTCACCGGCCCCTCTTCTTTCCAAGATGTCCTTGTAGCCCCAGCCTCTCCCTCTCTCGATCCAGACACAGGTACAAAGAAGGGCAGAGAGGGGAGGGGAGGGGAGTGGGGAGGAGGGAGAGTCAGAGCCAGAGGCACTCAGAGTATAGACTCCAACCCTGTCACTGCAGAGACAGGAGGGCACAAGTCTTGCCCACCATCACACAGCAGGGAAACCAGTGCCAGACCTGGACTAGGACCCCGCCTCCCTTTCTCCTGCATAGAACTGATCTGAAGCTCCCCTGAATGAAGGTGTGGGAGGACGTCCCCTTTGTTTCTTAGAGACACTGAGCAACTCTCTGCCTCCCTCAATGGCGAGTTCTCTTCCCTCTCAGGAACTCTGTGGCCAGGGTGGAATCAGGAGCTTAGATTCCAGGGAGACAGCACATGTGTACCCCGACCCCGGGGCTGGAGATGCTGGATCCATCACTGCCAGCAGGAAGCTCTGTGTAGCTTAAAGATGAATGTAAAAGTGGGGACTTTATGGAGTTTAAAGAAATAAAACCATAGAAGCTGCTTTAGGGGCCATGATCCTAGGCTTGGCAGAGGTGGGAGGTAGGGGGAGGGCATCAGGGAAGCATCTGTTTGGAGCCAGGCTTTGGAGAGCAGTATCAAGTTCATCCACCAACATCAGCAAAGGGGAACAGCAATAGCATTCTGTGCTGTGACTGACTTTCCAAGTAGCTGACAGCAAACTGATGGTGTCAGGTGGAGAGGGGAGGGTGGAGGCCTTGCTTGCCCTCTCAGGAAAGTTCTGCCACAGAGCCTGTACATCCCGGTCAACTCCCAATATCTCTGCAGAAAATTGTGATGCAGGAGCCCTGGACAGAGTGAACTGTGACTGAGAACCAGATGCACAAGGCACCTTCCTTCTCAACAGTGGGATGACATGGCAGTAAGTCCTGCTGACCCTGGGACCAAATCCTTTAAGGGACACACACTACCTGGTTTACACTTAGGAAAGTGAGGTGCCTTCCTGTACCCACAAAGCCAGGCACCCAGATCTGCCTGCAGCACAAAGGCCAGGGCTTCCATGTCTTGGCTGTTTGGTTTCTTTATGGCTTCAACATTTTAAGTCAAGGGTGCAAATGTTCTTTTGACTGTCCTTCTAGACCCTGGAGTGGAGCTGCTGGAATCTGGGTCATCGGTCTCTGCAGCAGAGACTTCAGGGAGAGGAGGAAAACTCAGACCTTCTGGGCCCAGGCTTTTGCAGATTCAGGGATTGCAGCCAGGCCACAGTTTCATTCAGGGCTGTACCATGCCCTCCACTGTCAAAACGACATTCAAAATGACAAATGATACTGATTGTTCTAGCCAAAACCAAAAACAACCAACCAAACCACTTCCTCAGCTTGTCCTAGGCAAGCACGGCATTCCCCTGACCCGGAATGAAGTTCTCGGGAGAAGGTTGGTACTGCTGGGGAGCCTCAACGAATGATATTAACGGGCACCTGTTGCCAAACAATGCACAGCTTGAAGCCCTGAAAGATGCTCATCCTGCTATGAACTGAACTGTGCCATAGCCCCCACTCATATGTTGAAGCCCTAACCCTCAGTGTGCCTGTGTTTGGAGACAGGGCCGGTAAAGGGGCAACTGAAGTTAAATGAAGTTCCTTAACCTAGTATGTCTGAGGACCTTACAAGAAGAGATTAAGACAGACATTAAGACAGACAACACAGACCTAGGGCCAACCATGTGAGGACACAATGAGAAGGTGGCCACCTACAAGTCCAGGAGAGAGGCCTCAGGAGAAATCAAATCTATCAACACCTTGATCTTGGACTTCCACCCTCTCGAGTTGTGAGAAGTAAATTTTGGTTATTTCTGTCCTTTACTCAATGGCATTTGTTATGGTAGTCTGAGCAAACTAGAATACTTCTGTTGTTTTTTTATTTTTTGAGACAGGATCTTGCTATGTAGCCCAGGCTGCCTCAAACTCAAGACCCTCCTATTTCAGTCTCCCAAATGATGGGATTACAGATGTGAAACACCACACTTGGCTACTAATACACTCTTTACAAAGCAGCAGTCTCACTAATGTCAAAGGTGGCCACAGGGAATCTAAACTCTCAAAGAAAATTCCTTGCAGGCAGAATGAGCCTCCTCCTATCTAGTAATGTCTCCCACCATGCAGCTACCATGGGAGGTTACCCTGGGCAGCTCCGCTTCCTTTACCAAGGGACCCCATACCAACTCCAGCACTTGGCCCAAGTAGGCCATGCATGGCTGGAAAAGGAATGGAGAATGAACCACTCTCAGATGCATCCAGGCCAGCATCTAGAGTCTCTGATCTGGGGAAGAAGCTTCAGACCAGCAGCCCCTGGGGACAAGCAGTGTGCACAGAAGCCTGTCTGTGACTGACTTGATGATGGCAAACTAGAAGACGCCAAGCAGCAACTGAGCCCTGGGAGACTGCAGGTGTCAGGTCCCAGCCCAACACGCAGCCTGACGGGACACAGGTGACATCGGTAGAAACATAATGGCACTAAGTGAATGGCTACCTAGCGGGGATCTGCAGTGATGGTTTCTTGAGGCAGGAGACATATGCTCTACCCTATGAACAGCGCAGGGTTTGACACTATGTGAACACTGAGGTGGGTTTTCCTCTTCTGAACTTCCTGATCCTCTGGGAGAAGCCCCCTCAGCTTGTACAAAGGGAACACGCACCTCAATAAAATCATCTTTGTGTCTGTAACAAGCCTCTGGCAAAGCAGGAGGGTCTAGACCAGACATCGTTGTATCAGCTGGACCTCCTGAGCCTCCCTTTTCCTGTGTGTCCCACAATTCAGGCACACTAGGTGATGTCCTGAAGCCCTTGGTCCTTGGCCCTTGGGGAAGGTACAGAGGACACAGAGGATGAATGGAGACTGGCACGTACCTGTTGGGGTGGGAGAAATGCAGCAGCCTCTCACAGGTTGGGGGGTGAGCCTGGGGCGGCGAGGTTCCCGCAGAGAGAAACAGGCCCTGGTGGCAAGAGTGGCCTGGGCCCTCAGCCAGGTCCAGGTCCAGCATGCTCTTCTCTGAGCCTGGGGTGCAGCAGCCATAGCTCCCATTCACTAGGCAAAGACAACAGGGAGAGAGGAGACAAGTGAGTGGGGACAGCTGCAGAGGGGTGCAGAAGGAAGTGGGCATTGGGGTACAGGTGGAGTAGGGCATCTGGACCCATCTGAGGCACCCCCGCTGTTTTGGCATGGTGGCAGCCTTTACCAAGATTTAATTCCCATAACCACTCAACAGGATCTACAATAAAATCCCCAGTTGTCAAATGTGGGTGCTAAGGCTCCAGTTGTTAAATGACAACTACACAGACATTAGGCACTTACTGTGGACACTATTCTAGGAGCAGGAAACACTGGTAAGCAAGATGAACTGCTGGTATCTTGGAGCCTGAGGTCCATTTAATCACATCTTGGTCATTGGACAGTGACCAGGCCAGCAGAGGTGAGCCAGTACAAGTGTGTCTCCTGTCACTGGCACCAAAGCCCCATCTATTCTATTTCCCAGCTTGCATCACACCATAGAAAGACTGAGTGTGGTTATCCATATGCCTGGTCCCCTCTGACAGCGATGCCATGAAGGAAAGAACACAGGTTCTGGGGCCCTCAGAACACAGTGTGAGCACCTATTCTGTCCCAAACCCACTTCGCAGCTCAGGCTCATCCCTGGTGCGTTTGAGCCTTGCTCCCCTGGGTAACACAGTACTGTCACTCCAGTTCTCCAGGGTGAGTGCAGAGGGGCAAGGTCCTGGGGCACAGTGCCGACACCCACAGGTGTGCCAGGAGTGGAACTCATTCTTCCAGTTAACAGCATGCTGGAATTCTGAAGAGCCCTAATGCATGTAATAAAACCATATTAAGCAGCCTGAGTGTGCCATCCGGGCACTGTCAACACTGAGTAAGGTAAGCCATTAAGATGAGAAGGAAGCTGATACCAGAGCATGGTCAATCCCCAAAGCTGAGGACAAGGACAGCAACAGGAAGTACAGGGTATGGCAGGAGGTAGGTCTCATTTGGGCTCCCACTGCCCTCTGAAGAAGGCATGAGTGTTATCAGCCCCATCTGACAGAGGAGGAAACTGAGGCTCAGGAGCACCACACTGCTCACCCAAAAACACATGCTGGTCGCCTCCCAAATGGGCTCCACCCCAGCCCACACCTTAGTCTCTATGGACTAAGCAGCGTACCCCCAGGGATCTACCTCCCTCACCCCAAGTCTAGCCCTTCACCACACAGCTCTCCCTGTGCTGAGGTCAGGCAGTGCTCACTCCCCATGCACTCTCTACTCTGGACAGGCGCCAGCATTCACTGCCAAGCACTTTACAGTTTGCAGATGAAAATGCACCACTCTCAAGGTCCTGGGGCAGGCGAGGGGCTCAAGTGGAGGGAGCTCAGATAAACATCTGCACCATACCACCTTCCCTGCCCAAGCCTGGCCCGTCTTGCTCACTGGCCTTGGTGGCTGCTCAGCCAGCTCCTCACAGGCTTATTTTTTAATAACTTGGTTGTTTTTTAATTAAAAAGAAATCCCTGGTAACAAATGCGAATGGCCAGAGTTAATGAGAGCAGGCTGCAGCTCGTTTAACTCCGTCTCTGCTTGGCTGTCTTTGCCTTTTCCAAATCGTTTCTGCATGCGATTTTATTGTCCCATTGAGGCAAACCCTGGGACCAAGCCTCAGAAAACTGTGGATAATTTTATGACCATTAATAGTATTTGGAGCAGAGAGCACTTAATCATCACAGGGGGCTGTTTCTCCAGGGGTTTTCCCAGAGTCCTGGGGGGTGGGGGTGCAGGTCTGAGGTTCCTTTAAAGATACATCAGGCCCTTTGGGAAACCCTTGGGTCACTTGTCCCTTCATTCACATAGGAGGCTGTGTGCAGGGAAGGAAGGTGGACCCTGAAAACAGCGGGGGTGGGCTGACATTCATCCAGCTTCTCTTCCTCAAGTCCTCCCACTGTCCATCACAGCAGGCTCGGCACAGCCACTCTCCAGATGGAAAAAGTCAAGGTTTAGAGAGATTCGGTGCCTCTGACCAGACTCAGGGATCTGTAAGAGGCAGGGCCACAACCCAAATCCAGATCCTTAAGACTCCAAGGAACAAGCTCTGGCCTGCTGCCTCTGGGTCAACTGATTAATAACTGCAGACCCCCAAACAATCATCCCAAACTGGGATTCCAGTGACAATCAGAGGTCAAGTGGTTTGCCAAGGTCACACAGGGAGTCACAGGGTGAGCTGAGATCAAACCCATCAACTCTGTGGGAGGACACCATTATCAACAAATGACTGTAGGTGCTTCCCTGCTGGAGACAGAAGTTTTCCGACAATAAACCTGTGGGAGGAAATGCTATCTTCCCACTCCAGACTTTGTCCCTGGTGCTCCCACAGTGCCCTGGTGGAAAGCTTTGACCTCCCAACCTCAAAAACGGACACTGAACACTGGAGCCAGGAAGTGTCTATCCAAGGTTGGACAGCAATTGCTGGCACAGCCATGGTCCAAGCCCATGCCAGACTCTGCCCCAGGCCTCCTACCTTCTCAAAACCTAGAAGTTAACCTAGAGGCTGTAATGTGTGTCCCAGAGATGCTGCCACCACTGGAAAGATAGGGGTGATGCCCACCATGGGCCCAAGTCTTCCAGGACTGTCACCTGCCTGATGGGAGTCTGGTCCCTCTGTCCCCAAGGGCATCATGAGATGGGACAGGGAGACCTAGTCCTGTTCACACTCTCTGTACAAGGATGAGGATGGATCTTTCCCTGAGGGGGTACAGGTGTACTCTGGTCATGCCGCTGCCCTGAGGTGGAGAGTAAGTTGATCCAGCAGCCATGTCTTCCTCTGTGCCACAGAGGGCCAAAAGTGGACCCTGGACCTGGCTTTGCTCATGCAAATGGAACTCCTTTGAAGGACCTGAGAGTGGTGGGGTCCTGTGTTCATTTTTACAAGTTAATGAGAAATCCTAGACTGTGAGGGCTGGAAGTGGCCATGTATTTCATTAATACATGAGGCTCAGAAAGGGAAAAGATCTTCTGTGGTCACACAGCACATCCACAGCAGAGCCTGGACTGGTGCTTCTGAAGCTAGGTAAGAATTTGGACAGGTTTCCTTGTCCATCTTCTGTTTTCTTGTCTGGACAATGATGCTGACACCAGTGTTGGGGCCACAGGGAGGTTATACGTGCAGTGCATTTGCCAAGGGGCTAGCTCATAGCAAATCCTCGACAAATCATGATGGCAATTACTTCCTCTGTTCCTCCTTGAGTTTGGGTCAGGGAGACAGGGCCCTGTTTGAAAAGCATTCTCTCCCTAAAAAGGCCAGGTCTGAATGGCCCTGAGGCCAGACTCAGAAGGACAAACTCCCAAGACTTGGGGTTTGCCAAATGTTGGGCTGAGCAGCTTAAATGAGGTCCTGAGCAGCAAATCTGAAGCAAAGGCCTTCAGTTACACCCAGAGAGCTATGTGAGTTATCCTAACAACGTGGCTATAAAGTGACTCCCAGTCTGCATGACTGGGACAATGCTGCTGCATTCAGCATCCTGGGCCCAGATGCACCTCCTGTGGGCTCAGCAGTGACAACAGCAGGGGCCAGGAAGGCCTGCATGACTGCCTTCTCATCTCTCAGCAAGTAGACTCTTAGTGCTCACCACGTACCAGGCTGGAGACAGGGTACCACACTCTAGTTTGCAAAAAAAAAAAAAAATCTCAGTCATCACCTATGAACTTTGTCATAACCCTCAGGAGTTGTCTGGGCAGGCCCAGAGGGGGCAAGTGAATTGCCCAACTCACACAGCAAGTGTAGCCCTCAGACTTGCTGGACTCAGGCACAGAGTTAGCAAACATTTTCCACAAAAGGCAAAGCAATAAATAACTAAGGTTTTGTAGGAATCCAGGCTCTACCACAACTACTCCACTCTGCCACTCTACTGTAAAAAGTAGTCATAAAAATATGGAAACAAGTGGATGAGGTTGTGTTCCAATAAAACTTTATTTGAAGAAACATATCCTTAGCTTTGGGCTGTTTGTCTGCCAACACCTGATCTTGTCCAGGAGACAAAATCAGAATCTGAAGCAGTCACACCTGCCTGCATCTGTAAACTGGATGTCTTTACAGAGTGGAGTCGACAATGTGAAAATCAAACACTGAACACAGGGCTGGCCCTGGTGGGCATTCAGTTAATGGAAGTGCCTTCAGCATAACTCCGGGACCCAGTGCCAGCCTGCTGACATCTATCTGGGTGTCACCTCCACTGCTGGTATTTTACTGTGGCACGTCCTTGCCATCCAATCCGGGACCTGATCCTCCCACACCCGTGGGCCTTCAGAATCCTGTAGAGGCTCTCTCCTCCAGAATGTTCCCAGGTCTTAGCTCTCCCTGAGCTCCTCTGCCACGCAGCTCCCAGAAGTGCTGCGAGGAGCAGCCGCCAAGGGCGCTCCTTCTGCTTACTGCACCAGCCTAACACTGTGCCATCTAGTCCACAGGGCTGGATTCTAACCCTCTGTACTGCCACTCTGTGCTATAGGTGCAGTGACAGCCCTGTCTCCCCTGCAAGTTTACCAAAGCCTCAGGACAAGGATCTTGGAGCCCCTGAGCCGATGAATATCAGTGCGTCCCCAGATGTGATTCGATTCAACTTTTCCACACACAGAAGAAAACAGTGGTCCGGGCTGAGGGAGGTCTGTCCTATAGGTCACACAGTAGGCAGGTTCTCCAGAAACCTAGGCCCCACTGGGAATGTGCCTCTCATTGATAACACACAGTTAAGCCAATAGCACATGGCTGGGAGAGTGACCAGCTGAGTGGACTGTCCGAAGTTCACTTTCATGCCTATTCTATGCTAGATACTGTGACTTTGGGGACTGAACAAGCTCTTGTCAAACACACGTTTAGGCTGAAGCCCCATCCACTATTAACTTTCTTGCTCTTTGACCCTAGATGAGGTACCTCACCTCCCCCCTGCCTCAGTTTCTTCATCTGTAAAATGGGAATAAGAATCCCAGATGCAGAGGGTGGCTATGAGGACTAAGATAATACATGTATGGTCCCTGGCATGCTGCCTGGTGT